ATTCCGAGATATTCTGCTTATTTGGGATAATTCAGAATGATTTCTTGGATTTGATTGGCTAATATCTGAAAATATCACGTGATATAAATAATCGATTAGTTGGCAACTAGTTGATTAACAAAATTTTACCAACTAGGAACACTAGTTTGTAGTCAACATTATTTATCAACTTGACTAAATTGATATTTAAAAATCGGCTTAGCCGGCTAAATCAGAGTCGATTATTCAAAGGTGAGACCAACTGGATTCTGTGTTTTACATTCCCCCCCCTCCCGTCCGGAAGAGGGGGGGGGGGGGTTTGTGGTTTAACTTACATAGTAAAATTTCAAAAAAAAATTTTCTCGTATTGTTCTGTGACTGTATAAAATTTTTCTGAAATATCCCGCAACCCTATTACTATGAACGCTGGGGGGTAATGTAAAAACACAGAATCCAGTTGGTCTCGCCTAAGTTCTATTTGATTAAACTTCGGATCGAAAATCGGCTGACTACACCGGCTAAGCCGATTTTATTGACTAATGCAAAATCGACTACGTAATTTGATTGGCTATCTATATACTGCGATATAAAAAAAATTTGGGTTTTGAAATTTTTGGACTCGGCCGGATATGAAAACATTTGGTTTTGTGTATCAAAAGAATTTTTAATTGATTTGATTGAACAATAATCATGCTTTAATCTATAGGGATGTTAAGTGGTCCACGGGGTAGTTTGGACCAGGTCCAAACCCGGACTTTTAAGGGACTAGTAGGACTAGTTGAAAACTGGTCCTATAATCTTTGTGATCTCAAGGTCGTTTAATTGGCTAATTTATGTCGATCTAAATGCAATCAATACAATCCATGTAATCACAATTAAAACACAATACTGGTTCACTATTGTTCTGTACATTTAAACCACTAGAGTAGGACCGGTCTTTAACAGGGGGGTGAACTAGTCCTGGCCCAGACTTTTGGGGGGACCGGACCGGACCGAACCAGACGCACCACTTAACATCCCTATTAATCTACACATAAATTAGCCAATTATATATATAGAAATACTGAAATAAACTACACGAAGGTGCATACCTGATCTCGAAATATGATTGGCTGCGCAGAATTTTTTGGTCCTCAGTGTATATATATCTATATATAGTTATAAAAATACAAGTTTCTATGCGGATCACCAATTAATAACAATGTTCATTCACGACACCGCGGAGAACGATACTTCGGATTTTGCAAGGGAAGGGTGGTATACTGATGCACTAGGTTAGGCCTTTTTTGACAAAATACTAGCATAAAGCCTTACAGTAGGTATTTAATAATTTACCGTCTGTTACAGAATATTGGTCAGAAACGCCAGCTACTATAAACGGCATGCTTGGTGGCTACGGTTCGGTTACAAACGTTGAGACAAAAGGTTCTATGGAGTTCATGTCAGAATACATTCGTGGAAAGAAAGGTGCTAAAAACATTCTCAAAGTTCCTCCACGAATAGACATTCAATATGCATGTGATTGTGGTGCAGGCATAGGAAGAGTCTCAAAACACTTTTTATTAAAGGTTTTTAACAAAGTCGACTTGGTTGAATATACACCAAAATTCATTAAGCACGCCGAAAATGTATATTTAGCTAACGAAAAGAGAAATGGAAGAATTGGAAAGTTTTTATGTTTAGGATTACAAGAATTTGAACCAGAAGAGGGAAAATATGACTTAATATGGTGTCAATGGGTCCTTGGACATTTGACGGATGATGATCTGGTGAAGTTTTTTCGGAGGTGTAAAAAAGGATTGAAACCCAATGGATTAATCGGCGTGAAAGAGAACGTTGCTAAATTTGGTTATTGTTTCGATAAAGATGATAGCAGCGTCACGAGGTGACTTATTTATTCTACCATATTATTTTCAATTAAACTTTACTTCGATAAATTTAATACTTTATTTACTTAAAAGATCAGACGAGATTTTTAAAGGCTTATTCCAAAGAGCTGGATTGAGATTGCTTAAAGAGGCGACACAACATGGAATGCCTGATGGATTATATGAAGTGAAAATGTAAATTCTTGTATCATCGATTTTATCCATAAAAAATACGAGATTTCTCATTCTATTTTTATTTAGGTATGCGTTGGAATTAGAGCCACCAATTCATTAAATAAAATGCACGTGCATTTAATATAAAATATTAAAACTTAAATTCAAAAAATTTAAGGCTTTTATGGTTCGCGTCATCAAAAATGTAGATCATACTAGATTTTAATCACGTGCCTTCATTATTATTGGTTAAAATTCAAAAAAATTAAATTTAGTAATTTTAACCTTTAATATTTCATAAAAATCAAAAAAAAGTAAACTGCAAATCTGAAAGAGAAGCATCGAATTTATTATTTTTACGGTTTATTACTTAAATACAAAGACAGGATGACATTTAAAGTTATCTAAGACTTTTTTGATGACCATAGGTGACGTGACCATACCCAGGTTGTAGATGCTAGTTCCGTAGTTGATCTTAATGTCAAATGGACGGTTCTACCCTGAAATCTAAATCTCGAAAGAACATAATACCGGTATTATGTCTTTCTCTTTCGGGATTTCAGCGTAGAACCCAAATGGATGTAACATTTGATGTGGGCCGTAACATTTGATTGGGCCGTAACATTAGTGTTCCAAATCGAAAATCGATTAATCAATCGAATTGGAAACTAATCGATTGATAGTTTTATTAGACAACTAATCGATTGTCGACGATTAATCGATTAACTAATTAATCGACTAGTTAGTTAATCGATTAGTTGACTAATTGACTGGTTGCTTTATATGGTATATCGATATATCATACTTTGATCTTGTAATTAATGGCTACGCAATTATATTATATCCAAGCCATTTTGATATACCAACTTGTCGACTAGTCAGTTAATCGATTAATTGACCAATCGATAAATCGATTAGTTGGCTATAATCGATTGTAACATTTGATGTGATATCTAACTTTTTTAATATTAGCACTTATCCGCGTAGCATGTTTATTACAAAGTTTATTTTATATCAGATGCCTTTTTTATATTTCTTGTCAAGATTTATTGGTTGACAAGAACACAAACTTTAAGCATATCACATGTTGAATGTGTAATAATAAGGTTATATGTATAACAAGTATGATAACATGTAATATATGTAATAGATATTTCACGGAGCCGTGTAATACATTGTGTTTATGACACACCGTGAAATATCTTCTATATCCCACATGTAAAATCCTCCTGCGCCGTAGTATTTACTGATTACGTCATGGTCGTAGAAAACTTTTTGATATTTTCACGGCATTACGTAATAATCAGGAATGTTCACGGGAGAACATAGGGGCCGTGGGATATAAATATTTATCTTTTTTATGACGAAATGACTAAACCCAAGTCATTCGGAGGTGTCTCAGGAATTATGAAAACAGCCTAAAAAAGCTTGGGTGACGTATTTTCGTATGCTGTAATTTTGTATTATCTTTTTATATTTCATAACTTTTTGAATTGCCATAATTTTTTGTATTGCCTATATTGTTGTAATTACTGAAATATGGTTAAGGCAAACGTTAATTATTATGACTTACGTCGTTATGAAACTTTTGACGTGACGACACGTCAATTGGACGTCTACATCTATAACCCAGCTTCAAAGATTGATAAGCTCTTAAAGATTGAGTTTAAGTTGGATTGAATAGACTGATTATCAGAAAATGCCAGGGACGGAAGAACATGGCAAATGAAGTAACTCGCATCTAATTAGATGACTCAGCCTCATGATTTCATCTTGGGCTTTCAAAAAAAAAAAAATTGCAATTGAACGTTACGTGACAAATAAGCATAATTTCGATAATTTTAGTTAAACAGGACCATACTACTAGAGTTTACAAGAATCACTTTAACTAAGTTCAAAATTTGATAAAAATTTTTTTTATTTTTATTTACCAACTTGTCAAATTAAAAAATTTGCATCCAATTTAATTAAGTATTTATTATCTTCAAGCTGTAGTTTTTTTCAAATAGAGGTATTCTCAACAATTACCTAATAAATTATATAGATTTTTTTATTTTAATTCTATATACTGTACTATATATAAACCTATCGTTTATTTGAATATTATGTACTTCTGCGGATCGTGAAATTCGGATGATCATGAAATCTAAAGCTCCCATTGGCTAATCACCTACCCTAACCAATCAGATGCATCATCCCTAACAAAGCAAACTCGGTGAAATTTTTTTATTTTAATTATACTTCTACGAAATTGTTAGATTTGGTTAGGTGATTATTGAGAAATTTTCGCAATTATTATATTGATTCTGATTGGAGCAAATGTGTCGATCTTTCATTGTCTTTGCTGGGATTGCAATACAGACATCAGGATGACTATGCCTCTACTGTAGTGTTTCTTCGGACAATTAAAAATTCTCATATTAGTTTGTCCTGTATTAATAAGTGTAATTAGTAAGCTCCGTCCTACTCTAATTAATCACGTGATTGCGCACAGTCCGTTATTATATGACACAATTTACAATTTCTGATTAGGACAAGATCACTTGATTTTTGTAATAGTACATAGTGTAAATTAATACTAACGGTTTATAGTCCGATATGCCGGAAAAATTTGGTACATAAAAATATAAAAAGCTATTCAGAATTTCTTTAGAAAGTCTTAATGTAAAATTCTTACCGCGTGACTACTTCCCTGCGCCCGAACTAAAATTCGCTGTGAAAACTGTGAAAACTGTACAGTCACTGAGGCAACATCAAAAATTCACGGTTTCTTGGTATTTCTGAAATGGCATCTAGATCTCAAGATCATGATGCCAGGGGACTGCCGGCCCCAAGTGTAGGGGACTACAAAGTTGGTGCGGAAATTGGTCGCGGCTCTTTCGCAACAGTCTATCAGGGATATCATAAGGTATGAATTTTGGAATTCTGGAATTCTGGAATTCCACATTAGTGAAGCAAAAAAGAAACCCTCTTCACTCATTCCAAAACATAAATAACCTCC